AAGAAGGTGGGGGGGGGGGATTAAAGAAAATACACCAGAATGGTACCTCAGGGTGGAAGAATTTTCTTTATAGTTCACTGTAGTTTCAAAATCTCTAGTTACCAAACAATAAATTTTAAAAATACATAAATATATATGTTATTTTTAATTTAAATTCAGTTAGCCAACATATAGTACATCTTTAGTTTTTGATGTAGTAGTCAATGATTCATTAGTTGCGTATAACATCCAGTGCTCATCATATCATGTGCCCTCCTTAATGCCCATCACCCAGTTACACTATATATATGTATATATATATATATATATATATTTTTTTAAAGATCTTATTTGAGAGAAAGAGAGAGTGTGAGAGAGCGCACGAGTCGGTAGGGAGGGGTAGAGGGAGAAGCAGGCTCTCCGATGAGCAGGGAGTCCAATGCCAGGACCCCGAGATCATGACCTGAGCCAAAAGCAGATGCTTAACCAACTGAGCCACCCAGGGACCCCAATATATATATATTTTTTAATTCAGAAAAAGTACCAACTAGATCTGGAATTTGAGGACATAACAGAAAAAATAACATCTGCAAATTTATTAAAAGAACCTTCAAACATCTAATATATAACAATGCTGGTACAAACTTAAGTGACTGACTACAAAGGACCAGGTTAACACCCACAGTAGTGTGCAAACACGGCCTGCTTATTTTATAAAGTACAAGATATCCAGAAAGGGGAAGGGGAAAAAAAAACAACCACCACCCTAAGACTCCCTAGGAAGGCAAAGAAACCATGGTGCTGGAGATTCAGAGACAGGAAATTACAGAGTTGTACATTTTCCCACACCTAATACCTAAGGGCTGAAACCTGCTTAAAACTCTTAAGACACAACTTTTGAGGTGCCTTTGCTCTGGAGGTTCTGATCCTAAAGATTTTAAAAATCCAGGAAAGGCAGTAAGATCTAATAAAATAATGAATGTCTAGGCCTACCCTAATACACAGGGAAGAAGGAAACTAATTTTCAGTAGCTAATTGTTCCTTTAATAAGTTTTCCTCCGCCCCCCAACAAAAAAACCATTATTAGTTATATGGGGAGTATCTTATCTCAGTTCCCTACAATTCAAATTTTATATTTTTATTTATTTAATTTTTAGAGAGAGAGTGAGGGAAGAGCAGAGGGAGAGAGAATCTTTTTTTTTTTTTT